GCCAACGCGCGATTGTTCTACGCAGGCATTCACGAGGGAAGAGGCCGCTTTTTGGGTTGAGGTGTTGAAGGTGTTCAGACTATGGAGGAAGAGGAGAGCAAGGTCAGTTGATCGGAGGAGAGGTTAGAGGTGGCGGGCAAAGAGGGCTGGGGATGGAGGACGAGCTTAGGAGTGGGCGGGGGGGGGGGGGGGGGGGGGTTAGGATTGCATATATCGGGCAACCGATTAGGATGACGCATCGCAAGTTACTCGTTGAAAGCGAAACAGGGTGTAAAAACACGCTATACCCTTGTTCAAGTCTAGTTTCGTGGCAAGCCGTGGTCTGTGCCAAGAAAAAGAGTGGGGTGTGGGTTGAACAGATGAAATTCAGAAAGGGTTCCGTAGAATCGGAAACAGGTGACATATACCATACACGCTTTCCTTTTTCGTATTGTTTCGACGCCCACCGACCAAAAACAACACAGAGCAGCCCCTCACCTGTGGACGCGAGCCCCTCCGTCATATGCGGGCTCCAGGATGACCGAGTCAATCTGAAGGGGGCACAGCGAAGAGGAAAACAAATCCAGGAAGGGTGGGTGGGTGGCACGAGCGAGGCGCATTTGTAAGAAACACACACACACATACACACACGTCTACCGTGGGAATATACAACGAAAGCAGAAAAATGGCCTGTTCTTGGCGTTTACAGCAGCAGTACAGTACGCCTAAAAAAGTGGCTACACGAGCCACCGGAGACACCTGTCCTCATTACTGAGACGAAATTCTCGCCACTAATTCGACTCAGCTTCACGACCTCTTCAAAGCGTGATCTTACAACCGCTACCTTGAGACATGGCAGAACCTGAGACCCAAACACAAAAAAAAACAAAGAAAACGTCCTGAAGAGGGCACCGAAGGACGGACAAAAACAAAAGGGACAACAGAACAAAAAGACAGAAACGAGAGAAAACAACAGAACAAAAAAAGACAAAAACGAGAGAAAAGAACAACAAGTACGAACCTCGTCGGGGGTGGTGAGGGCGTTGAAGTTGTCCGAGTCTCCGAAGTCGAAAACGGCAAGCTTTCCCTGGAACGCCATGCCGTCCGCATCGTCATCCCCCGCGTCCTCCCCGCTCTGTGCGCCGCAGATGGAGCCGGCGACGTGGGTTCCGTGTCCGTCCGCCTCTGCAATCACAAATCCCATTAACGTTTCAGACGTACATCACCTCACTGCCGTTTACTGCTTTTGTGTTAACCGCTGCTTGGATTCTATAGGAGGGGTATATACTACTACATCCGCTTCGTGGGGAAAAAAACATGCAGGGCACCTGGCAGTTCACGCACTCATATGATACAACACAGGAGGGAACCTAGCCCGGAGAGAAAGGCGGAGGTTCAGGTGACTTGACACATGCGGTTTGGAGCGGGTACGTTGCGCAGCGACAACAACTGACTGAGAGGAGACCGGAAAGCGATTTCATTGTCAGGAATTTCAACAATAACAACAACAACAACGACAAGAGCAACAACAACAACAGCAACATCAACAACCATCTCTCCCTTAGCGCAAGCCGGGAGCGTATCACAACCTTCACTTGCAACACAAGCCTCACCGTCGAAGTCGTCGACGAAGTCGATGTACTGCACGACCTTCCGCTTGTCCAAGTCCGTTACCGGGTCGTCCCAGTCGCTGGCCTCGATATTGTCGCCGTCGTCCTCCCGAAACTGACAGTGGTTCAGGTCCAGGCCCGTGTCCGCCACCCCGATAATCTCGTCCTGCCCTTGAAGGTTCTGTCAATAACGAGCAAAAAAAAAAAAAAAACACTCACAAAACACCCGTATCTGTCTTGAATCCGGAGAGAAGCAAAGCCTCCCGCATGGTGCCCCCCTCACGGGGTCCCAGATCATATGGCCTTCAGAAGAATTTTGTGTTCTAACCAAAACTTGAGACTGACATATTTTCATTCAATAGCCGGTACGTGCGTAATGATTAAAAAAAAAAACACATACACTGTATGGGGATTGTCTTTATCTATAACCGTTTCTGTCTTCGATCCAGAGAACAGTAGCCTCCCTCGTGACCATGCGCCAAACTCTCAGGCACACCGCGGACAAAGAGTGTCAGCAACGTCGCAGCGGCTTCGAGCCGCGCCAACTCTCAGACACAAGACTGCCAGTAACGTCGAAGCGACTTCTTCTGCTGCCTATGCATACAACGTAACGCGGCCTCTCCTTCCACACAAACAAAGCTCACCTCATCCCACAGCGGGGTATACCCGTCCACCGCGGACTGCGTCACCCAAGCGGCGTCGAGATTCTGGGTCGCCGTCTTCCTTCTCGCCGTCACGTAGCGCACCTCGGGCTGCAGCGAAAAGAACGCCAGCAGGGCCGACAGGCAGCCCTCGTCGCCGCCGCCGCCGCCGTCATTAGCGGCAGCCACCATCTCGTGCGGCCTGTGCAAGAGGACCTTCTTGCCGCTGGGGGACACGGTGAACCTCGCCAGGTCGAACCCGCAGTAGCTGGCCCTAGTACCCCCGGCGGCGCCTTCGGGCCCGCCAACCGACGAGCCTTGCCCGCCGCCTTCGCCGCCCCGGCCGCCCACGGCTTCCAGGAGGCTCACCCACCCCAGCCTCTTCCGTTCCTCGTGGGCGGACACATGTGTCGCCCGCTCCTCCTCTTCCGTCGACAACCGTCTCCGGCCCTCCCCTTCTTCCCCGATACTACCACTACTACCACTACTACCACTACTACTACCGTCCATCATCACCCCATCCTCCTGCCGTCGGCTGCCGCCGCCGCCCCAGAAGTGCTCCTCCCTCAGCGCCTTCGCCAGGGCCGGCTGGTCGCTCGCCAGGGACAGCCACCGTCGGGCCATCTCCTCCGTCTCGCCCTTCGAGCGCTTTACGTGGTGCCTGCCAAGGCTGATCTCGATCGCGTCCACCATGCCCCTCTCCCCGTGCTCAATCAACCGCTGGGTCGTCGGCCGGTCGTCCCCGGGCAGCCCCGCCGCCGCCGCCGCCGCCGCGGAGGCCAAGATCTGGTCGCGCTGCTCCGCCGACACCTCGCTCCTACCGGCACCGCCGGCAGCGGCGCGGAGATGCCGCCGCCCCCGCAGACGACTGCCGCCACCCTCGTCGATGTACACCCCTTGGGTCGCGCCCGCCGCCTCCGAGGACAGCAGCAACGCCGCCGAGGACGGGTCGGCCGCCACGGCGGGGGCAAGCTTCGCCAGGTGTGGCAGGGGCTCCAAGGAAAACGTCCCCTGCCCCCCACCGCCGCCGCCGCCGTCGCGGCCGTCCGCGGCCACGAGCGCCGCCTAGGTCTCCGTCCCGGCTCGCGAAGGAGCAGAGGAACTCCGGCTTGCTCGCGGTGCCGCGTCTCGACCAGGCAGCTCCCACGGACCTGCTGCCGGACGCGCTGATCGCCGTGCCAGGCCGTGGCTTGGCATACCACATAGTCTGTAACTCAGGGCTGCGGTTCAGCTG